TTCCCTTGTATATATGGACCACATCTTCTTTACCCATTCATCTGTTGAAGGGCATCTCGGCTCCTTCCACAGTTTGGCTATTGCGGACATTGCTGCTATGAACATTGGGGTGCCTGTGTCTAACCCCTATTTTAATCACGAGGAAATTCAGGCTCAGAAGATAACATGACTTGTCTAAAGCCTCACAGCACATCAGGGGTGGAGCTGAGATTCAAACCCAGGGCCACGTGCCTCTAGAAGCACTACTTGGTTGTCTCACACATGGAAAAGCAAGAAGTAAGGGTCAGGGTGAGGATCCAACTGGGCCATTTATGAAGAGGCAAGAGCGCCCCTCCTTTAGAAGCTCCCAAGGATGAGGTTATGGAGTCAAATCCAAGATGGTAGCCATCCATTTTCATTTACAGTAGTCTCAAGTCATGCACCAAGTAAGAGAACACTTCTAGAAAATTTTTCACCACAAATTATTTTTTAAATAATTTTTTTAATATTAAAGTATTACATGTTCACCATGAATGTTTTGGGAAATTGAGAATAAAGAAGGGGAATCCTTACCCACAATCCCACTAACTGTAAGCAGCTACTGGTAACATTTGGGGGTATCTCCTCAAAGTCTTTGCTATGCATAGCTTGTGTGTATGGTTGTGTTTGTTTTACATTGCTTCACATTGCTGAGGTCCTATCAACTCTGGTCTTTAATCCCACTTTTTTCACGTGGATGAAAATTTTTATTGCTTTTAAATGGGTTATCAAAATAACAGCGACCACTTTGGAGCCCAGACTCTGCAACAGGCAATGTGAAGACATCCCATGTGGTATCTCCTTTATTCCTCAAAAGAATGTCTGCCGCATATCAGAGATGAGGAAATGAGGAGTTGAAGGTCACCTAGCTGTCCAGCAGTGGGCCGAGGAGTGGCATCTGCACTGATACCACAGTCCATGCTCTTATCCACGGAACTAGAAGTTCACATTTGGGAATAACTCATGCTCGGCCGTCCCTGGGAAGCTATGCAGCGCTGTGGTAAAGGTCCCCCTGAGGTTCATTACCTACATCCTACCTGGAGCTCAGGCTGGGTTCCCCGCAGGGAGGGAGGCATCTCTCTGCAGCGTGGACAGAGGAACCGCACTCCAGATGCCCGTGGATGTCAGCGATGGGGGGAGGGGGGGCGGCGGGGGGCGGCCATAGCCTCCATCCCTGCCTGCCAGTTAGGGTTGCCAGATAAAATGCAGGACACCCAGTTAAATTTGAACCTCGGATGGGCGCCTGGGTGGCTCAGATGGTTAAGCGTCTGCCTTCGGCTCAGGTCATGATCCCAGGCTCCTGGGATCGAGTCCCGCATCGGGCTCCCTGCTCCTTGGGAGCCTGCTTCTCCCTCTGCTTCTCTCTCTCTCTCTGTCTCTCATGAATAAATAAATAAAATTTAAAAAAAAAAAATTTGAACCTTGGATACACAACAAATAATAGTTTAGTGTACATATAATCCAACTATTGTATGACTATGCTTATACTAAAAACATATTCATTGCTTATCTGAAACTCAGATTTAAATGGAGCGTGCTGCATTTTTATTTGCCACATCTGGGAACCCCACTGTCAGCAATCACGGAAGTTTGCTTGGCTTGACAAGCTATGGTCTGCCCAGGTTCCCCCTCTCTCACTCTCTCTCTACACACACACTCTCTCTCTCTCTCCCTCCCCCACCCCCATCCCTAGCTGTCCATCTTTGGCCTGGCTATGAGTTAAAATGTGCTGGGGCTAGGGGGTACCCCAGGGCCCCTCTGCAGCTAAGAGACCAGATTTGCCAGGCCTCCCCGCAGCTGGGTGGAGAGCCAGCTTTCTGAAACAAAACTTAGTTCTTCCCCACTCCCGGATACTTTCCCGTTTGCACACTTGAAATCCCTCCACCGGGTAAATTCTTCCTGGCTCAAATCTGTTGTAAAGGCAACTCTCATTCCTTTTATAATCTCTCCATGGATCCCATGACAAGTTTTTCTGCCAATACAGTTTCTCCCCCCCTCTGTGTCCTTTCAACTGAGCGTGCTGGGGGTGGGGAGGGGTTTGGATCCTAAGGCTGTTTTGTGGGTGGCTTCTCAGAAGCCTCATTGAGGCCTTGAAAAGGGACCCTGGAGATTTAGAATGAAATACAGTGCTGAGGAGGAAGTTTTGAGTTGCCATGGGAACTTCTTGTCTGATGTTTGTGCACCCAGATAAGCTGCTCCAGGAGCCTGGGAGCTTGGATAAAGGGGAGCAAAAATGAAAGGAAAGATGTTTTTGGAGGTTTGTTTTTTTTTGTTTTTTGTTTTTGTTTTTGTTTTTGTTTTTGTTTTTTACTGCCAGCTGCAGCCCCAGCCCACAATGGAAGCAGGAAAATTCCCCAGCTCCCACTCCTGACTGCCTCTCCTGGTCTTCACTAGCCCCTCTTCCTTTTGGCGCCTCTAAGTTCCCAAGAAAACAAACTTCAAAGGGACAAGAAGGGAGTGTGGGAGGGGTGTGCTCAACCTCGGGGATTCCCCTTCAGCTCTCATGGGGCTGAGCAAGAGTTCTGATCTCCAGGCCCCTGGTATTCGGAGTCCTTCCTTTAGGGAGAATGGGAAGGCCTCCAGGGAAAGCTCCACCCACCAAGGCAGGAGGCAGCAACTGGAACTGAATTTGGCGGTAACCTGGAGTAAACTCCTAAAAGGCTCATTTGCCTGGAAGGCCTCTATTTTCCAATATGCAAAATGGACATGACTGAACCAGAAGTGAATCATAACTATAGGTGGTCGGAAAAGGTTGCTCTTTCTCATATTTTTAATCTTTATTGTTCCTGGAGAGCAAAAGCAATGTATGCTTGGTTTTCTGTTTAAACCACAAACATGACAGAAATATTGTGACTAAGGAGAAGGGCCTGTAATTTCATGCCATAGAATAGTGGTTCTCAAACTCCCGGAGATAAACACATCCCCAGGGGGATGTATTAAAAATCCAAATTTGTGGGCCCCTCCCTCGTATATTCTAATACAGCAATCCAGGAGCATGGCCCATTTTAATTCCATTTTAACACTCATCTCACAAATGATGGCTAGTCATGACATTTGAGATACATTGATCTAGAACATTGATCTTCATGGCCTTGCAGCCAACCAAGACCCTTCACCAAAGGAGCTGGTGCCCGGAGACGCAGCTGAGAAGTAAGACCATTTCTCTTCTGTTTCCCTTGCTGTGGAGCTAGGGGCAGTGTGGGAGGAGGTGCAAGGCACGGAGGGCCTTGGAGCCCCGGGGCAGGGGAGCTGAGCTGTTGGAGTTGGGGGACCCAGGCTCTGTCCCCCACCCAAGTCCACTTTAGCAGTTCAGTGTATATGCCTCCAGATTGGTCCTCTAGGTACTGTACGTACTAACTTTTGTATCTTGAAAAAAAAAAAAAAAATAGGAGTGTCAATGTCTTCGGTGTGTATAAGTCAACAATAGTTATTGAGCACCTTGGTACTGGGACAGGAATACTGAGAAGGATAAGGTAAAGTCCCAGCCCGGCAGTCTGGTGGGTGAGGCTGACGGGTTTGTACACAGGTTGGACTGTGAGAAGAGCTTTAATGGAAGAGACATAGTGAGTCCCAGCTGCCTGGGGAAAATGGTGCCCAACCTTGGGGGATGCCTGCCCAACCCTCCTTGGCTCCCCATTGCTTTGGGGCTGCCATCAGAGTCTCCCAATAAAAAGAATACAAAGTAGAGATGAAGGTCATTGCTGGCGTGGGGACTCTCAGAGTCTGCTCCCCTGGAGTAAGCTGGAGTAGGGGGCTCTGTCTTCTCCAGGTGGGAACAGAAGCCCTCAGTTCCCCAGGACCCCTCCTATTCCGCTGCTGTTGGAGGGCACCCAGGTTGGTTCAGGTCAGCCACGGTGGGCCTTGGGAAATGCCCAGAAGAGCCCTTTGCAGAGCGAGACAACATGTGGCAACAAAGAGTGGCTTGACAAGAATTTAATGGCAGTCTTTCACCACCAGAATTTAGTAAATTAAGCCACAGTAGGACAGGAAGCCTGGGGAGGATACCCTTCAAAGTACTTCAAGAGAAGCAGAATTGAGGAAAAAGGAACAAAAAGGAACATGTGTTGTTTCTAGAAAATTGTTTTATACCCAAGATTTCATGACCCTCTAGGTTTATTTAAGCGGCTCCAGAATGGCCGGCTTGGTCAAGCCTCCCAGGCCATGAGCTACCTGCCCCCTGCTTCCCTGTTCAGCCCCAAGCCCCACCTCCCCCTCATGCCAACACTCCGGCCCCACCGGCCTTCTTCCTCCATATCAAACTCACTCCCAGCCTGGGGCCTTCCCACTGGCTCTGCCCACTTCCTGGAATGCTCTCCTGTGGGAACAGACATCACAGTGCTGACTCCTTCTCACCACCCAGGCCTCCCTAAAAGGTCAGCGCCTCAGTGTGCACCCTTCCCGAGCTCAGCCCCTCCCCTCCTTACTTTCAGCCTGACTTTCATCACAGGTCAAAGTGTCTGGTTTGTCTCCTCTTTAGTCTGACTCCCCCTACCCATGAATACAGGCTCCCTGAGCCCACGGCTGTCATTCACACTGTAGCTCCAGCATTTGGAACAGGGCCAGGAACACAGTAGGTGCTCCACAAATGTCAGTCAAATTAATGACATAGGCCAAAGAGGGCACACATTGTCTTTTTAATGCCCCCATTCGTGGTTGATATACATCCTGGGCTTCATGCCTTGCAGCCAACCAAGACCCTTCACCAAAGGGGCTGGTGCCTGAGCCCTGCTGGGCAGACTCCAGGGCCTGCTCTGGCCCAGATCCCACCAGCTTCTACCTTCCTCACACTCTCAACTGTGCAAACTCCTGTTGCTCCTCTCTGAAGTTCAGATGAAGTTCAGAGTGTGGAGTAAATAAGATGTATGGAGATCCTGACCCAGGGGATGACCAAGAACTGAACCCATGTCTGTTGGCCCTCCCTTCCCACCTCAGAGCCCAGTTTCCTCCCGAAGCCTTGGGCACTGTGGGGAGGAGAGGGGGGCGGATGCTCAGCTCCCCCTCCCCTGGGGAGGCTCTGGAATGCACTCTCACTGACCCTCCCATTGGAAACAAGGGAAATGCCTCTATGCGAGCCGCCTAGCTCAGACAAAGGTTGGCAAGGTTCTCAGTCCTCCACAAGCCGACCAAATAGGTATTTACTTGTGCCTCTCGAGCGTGTGGCTTGGACGCGGTGTTCCGCATTGTGGAAGTGGCCGCGCACCAAGTGAAATATTCGTTACTATAGTAACAGTTCCTTTTTATTGATACCAGAATAAACAGGAATGCAGAGCTGCCTCACTCACTGGCACACTGCAGCTGCCCGCCATCCCCAGGGGTGTAAGAACCGCCCTTCAGAGGCGGCCCTCCTTGCTCGGCCCTCCTTGCTCGCCTGGGACTTCCCAGCAGAGTGAGGGACCCAGCCGCGGCTCCTGAGTTCCCTGCCCAGAGACGCAGCTGAGAAGTAAGACCATTTCTCTTCTGTTTCCCTTGCCGTGGAGCTAGGGGCAGTGTGGGAGGAGGTGCAAGGGATGGAGGGCCGTGGAGCCCCGGGGTAGGGGAGCTGAGCTGTTGGAGCTGGGGGACCCGGGCTCTGTCCCCCACCCAAGTCCTTTATCACACAGAGTAGCGGATTTAATCCTCATTACTAGACAGACAACAGGCCGGGGTGCTGCAGGGCCAAAGTCAGAGAACCCAGGTCTTGGCATGAGACAGAGTTCCCTGCTTCGATTTGAGCTCCTTCCTTCACTGGCTGTGTGATCTGGGGAAGTTAGATGACCCCTCAGAGCCTCACTTCCTTCATCTGTGGAAAGGGGTGGCCAACAGTAGCCACCTCCCCAGTCTGTGGGACCAACTTCCCCAGCTCTGGCTGCGAGGGGCTTCGCACACTAGGCGGCCCACATGTGTGTTAACGTGGTAACCACCTGGTGAATGTGGCTCTAGCCCCTTGCAGGAGAGGCAAGCCTGGGACTGAGCTGGAAATCAGGGGTTCGGTGTGTCACTTTTCGGAACTGCTGCCAAACCTGGCTGGTTCCCCCGGCTGTGAGCAGCCCCAAGAGCTCCGTCACCAGGGGCTGGGATCCTGAGTGGCGCTTAGCTCCGTTGGTGGTAAGTACCTGCCAGGATCGATCCCCTGGAGGCATATTCCGGAGTGGCTGGCATCATGCGACGGGTGGGCCGGCAGGAATACCTGGTCTGCTGACACTTGCCCTCCACTCTGCATCAGCCTGGCTAAGGGCCTTCCGTGTCCAGCTCCGGACTCCGCTATGGAATTGATTCAAACCCCTGAATGCCCACCCAGACTTTCTCCTCACAAGCTGGGAGGTCATGGTGGACCCAAGGCAAAATGGTTAGGACTTTTGAACCATTTTCCCACGGGGTGGGTGGGGGGGCTGCCTCCAGATGAACAAGGAGCTCTGATTCCAGGCAGGGGCCACCAAGAACATTGTTCTTCGGTCTCCGGTCAGCGAAACACAAAAGGGCACGTTTTCTACTGGGAGGAAAAAAAGCAAGAAGGGGCTGGGAAATCCGGTGGCTGTGGCCATGCTTGTCATTAGCATTGAACGTCTCTCTCTCTCCTTTGCCAGTGGTTATTTAAAAAGCCTCTCTCCTCTACCCTTCCCGCCTCTTGAAGTGTTGAGGCAAGAAGGTCCCAGGTGTGTTCTGAACCCGCAGCTTGAATGGTAATAAGGAACAAGGGTGCAGGGAGGGAGAACAGGGAAGACTCTGACCAGGACCCGGGGAGGGAAGGCCACCAGCTAGCCCCGAACTAAACAAAGGCCGGCTCCTGGGCAGACAGGCCCGTGGATTCTGGCTCAAGCCCAAGGCAGCGAGGGCTCACAGCTCCCCAGTGAGTCTGGATTTCCCTTGAGCTAGGAGTTCTCCAGCTGCCAGGCCTCCGGCATAGCTTTCTCATCTACAAAACGGGCATAATAAAACAGTACCACTGACAGCCTCCCAGGGCAACTGTGAGATCCAGAAGCAGGTGAGTCAGCCTTCACCAAATGCTGAATGCTCACCACAGGTCCCCTCAGGAAAGGAGGGAAGTTTGCCTTCTGTGAGCATCACTGTGCCAGGCACTGGACTAACCACAACATGCACATATTATCGTTTCACCCTCTAAACAGCCCCACGAGTAGGTATGGCCATTATCCCCATTGAACAGAGGCTCAGAGAGGTGAAGCTGTTTGCCCAAGGTGGCACAGCAAGTAAGGAGTAACCTACCATGTTCCAAACCCAGTCCATCTCCTCCAAAACATTTGCCTTAACCTTGCAGCTTGAATGGCTCATGTGTCATGTGTTATAACTGATGCCATCAAAGACAGAACCAGAGCCACCAGGGCAGAGAGGCAGATGAAGGGGACCTGAAGGCCTTAGCGCAGGATCCACTGGGACCTGGGTCTCCACCACTGCCACTTCCCTTCAGCCTCTCCTCATTGCTCTCCTGCGGCCAGGGTGGTTGCTCAGTTTCAAAGCCACCACCCTAACATCAGTCACACACGCCCCAGCGGCAGGTGGGCTCACCCTGGGAGCACTTACTGGTTACTGATCCCAGCTGAGCCTTGCCTGGCATGGGGCTGGTGTCTGCAGGGCCCCTGGGGAGGAGCTGTGGGACCTCTTGGGTTATCAGCAGAAGCAGGGAAGAACCAAGGGAGAAGCTGCCAATCCCTCCCCTGACCTTTTACTACCCACCCCACCTTGCCCCCAAAGATGCCGTCCCACCGTCTGCAGAGTAGGCGAGATTTGCCCATCCTGCAGTCATGCCAGATGTTCAATTTAGCCGTCACCTACTGGCTGTGCCTGCCCCTCTCAGCTCATCCCATCTTCACAGCATCATGATTTTACACAGGAGGCGGGTCCTCGAGGTTAAGACCCATCCAAGGTCACCAGTGGCTAAGAACTATGACCTTAACCACACCTGCCCACCATAACCAGGTCAATCAGGCAGCTGAAATCACTCAGGCCAAAGCAAAAAAGATTGATTTTTTTTTTTTTAATAACTCCATGGTTTACAAAGCTACCTGACTATTGGAATCACTGGGGGAGCTTTTTAAAATCCCAAAGGCCAGGCTGCCCTCCCAGGCCAATGACATCAGAATCCCTGGGTATTGGTATTTTTAAAACTTCCTCTGGTGATGCCAATACGTAGCTAGGGTTAAGAGCCACTGATGAGATCAGTACTCTTTTTAAAGAGGGTAAGAAAACTCCAAGACTAGGACTGGAATTTATTAGTAATTGTTAATAACAGCTAATAGGGTGGCCACACTGTGCAATTCCAGGGCCTCCACTCATAGTTTAATTTACAGGAGTGAGGCTCTAGAGTTGTGCAGTGCACAACCTGCCTTGCTGTATTTGGCTGCCCAGCTAAGTAGCGCTATTGAGTCTTCAGCTCTGTGCTAGGCACTTGCCAAGCACCAAGCAAGTATCCCCTCATTTATTTGTCAATAACGTCATGAAGAAGGACGCTGAACAAGAGCATCTGTTGCACCTTTTCAACTCTGCTGTTCTCGCGAAAGCAGGCATGTAGACAGGAAGTAATGAGTGGGCGAGGCTGTGTTCCAAAGCGGTTGAATTTGATCCAAACGTTTAGTTTGTGGACTCCTGCTGTAGAGGAGAGATAAACTTGCCCAAGGCTAAGAAGGGGCAGAGCCAAGATTCAAATCCAGATCCCTAGGGCTCCGGTGTCTATACACCTAAGCTTCATTCCACATTTCTTTGACAAGCGGTGAAGGATCTTCACTAGCCTTTTAACTTTCCCCTCCATTGGCCTGTTCCTCTTCTCTGCCGCCTCTTCCCTTGGGCCTTCATCTCTGTCTTTTCAGAGGCGACCTCACACTCTGCCCCCATCATCAGATCTGAGGGTCTCTGATCTCTCAGGACGCCCCAGCTGCCTGCCAGACCTGGCCAGAGCAGCCCTGGGATTGGACCCCAGCTCTGCTCAGGAGGCCCACCTGCGCCCTCCCGCCAAGGGCAGCCCGGATTTTCTTGGCCCAGCATCTGGGCTTTGTTGAGCAGCCCCTGCCATTGCAGCACCTATGCAAGGCCCTTCTAAACGGGGGAGGGGGGCTCTTAAACTAAAAGGCAAGAAGACTGGCTTAGTGGCTCTTGGAGCCCTGGAGGGCCCCCACACACGTGTCCACAGATCTCACACCTGTCATTTCTAGAGCTGGCAAAGGCAGCAGTTTTCCCAGCCTGCAGTTTTGGCCGGAAGTACCAGCCACATCCTTCAGGATCCCTGCCTGAACCACCTCATCGCCCAAGGCTCAGGAAGACACCAACCCCACAGCTACATGCTGATTTCATTTAAAAAATAAAATAAACAAACAGGCTTGGAGCCAGAGCTGGTCACTGGTTGGACCTGGGTGCAGGACTGACTGCATACATACAGGGGCCCTCCTCCAAGCAGGACTCAGTGGAAAAGGTCCCGCAGCCACGGTGGGGCCTGGCCCCAATGGGCTGGCTGGTGACCTATGGGGTGAAGAGTCTCAGCCCGGCCAGAGGCTTTTCCTCTGAAATTTAACAGGAGAGAGAGACAGCGAGTGCCCCGTGGAAGTCAAAGAAACCAAAGTCCTATAAAAATTTCCCCAAACCTGCTGACAGTGTTTCCCCACACACCAGAGAGAATGACCTTTTTAGAAAATCGAATGAGACACGCTCTTTCCCCGACTTGAACCCACCCGTCCACCCACACACCAAACACTCTCCCTGTCGCTCACTCACGCCACTCCAGACACACTGTGCTTTTTTGTTCCCTGAACAGACTAAGCTTGTTCAAGGTACATGAGTCACACAGGCTGTTCCTTCCCTCTGCCCCAAACAGCCTCCCCTCCTTCTTCTCAATCCTCAGATCTGAAATGTCACCTCCTCAGAGCAACCCTCCCAATGCACCTGGCTGAAGGTGGGCCCTCCTGTTAGTCTCCATCCCAGCCCCCTGGTTCCTTCAGTGGGCTCGTGGCAATTTGCAATCATTTGTTTTGATTGGTATGTGTACATGTTTACTGTCTGCCTCCCTAATAGAATCTCAGCTCTTGAGAGCAGGAACCTTGTTTGCTTAGTTCACCTCTGTGTGTCCGGTGTCTACCGCGAAACCTAGCAAATTGTAGGAACTCAAAACATATTGTAGAATGAATGAAAAATATTATTGTGTACTTCCTCAGTGGCCATTCCTGTTATGCAGGAGCTCTTGGCTTTGTGTACTTACTTTGTATCCGGCCACGCCATTGAATTGTCTCATTAGTTCCAAGTGTTTTTCTATTAATCCACTTGGGAATTCTGGGTATGTAGTGATATCTTAAGCAAATTAATTCTGCCCTCCCTAAAGTTATACAACGTATTTGTTTCCGGCCTTATGGCTCTTGTAACATACAATACAGTTAGTTACTTCAAAGATGGTGTGACTAATGAAAATTATGATGTTCTAGAAGGTTAGGGGACACAAAAGGACTACAGGCAGGATCAATAACAAAGGAGCTGCAGCAGTTACTTAAATATGGTGTGATAATGGGCTGGATAGGATGAGAGCTGATCACTCAGGAAGTAAAGAGGATAGCTGAAAATTGCTCAGATAAAGGTTTGGTGGGAACTGGTAATGGGAATAGGCAGCAGAAGGGGGGAAAATTCCCCAAACTCCAGTCTGAATCAGGGTATTCTAATGCATTGGTCCCAGACAACATAAGCCCACAGACTAAGAAAATATGCACATTTTTAGGGGCACCTGGCTGGCTCAGTTGGTAGAGCATGCGACTCTTGATCTTGGGGTCATGAGCTCAAGCCCCACATTGGGTGTAGAGTTTACTTTAAAAAAAAAAGGAAAATGTCCACATGTTTAAAAGATGAGGGAGCTGATATAGTCAATTGTTTATTTTGTCAAGTGCCCATTTTTAACTATCAAATACTACCACAATCTCTAAAAACCAAAGAGTTGGGAAGGATAGAACCTGAAAACAAACAGCCTTATGAAGAAAGAGAAGAAAGAGAATTAATTAGAATTCTCATTTTAGAAACAGTTCTGAGAATGTGAATTCAAGAAAAAAAAATTAGCAGATATGTTTTATGCTCTGACACTTCATCTGGCTACTTCCAAAATATCTTGTAATAATTAACACTTTTTCCAGTTTACACAGCACCTTTACAAATGTGATCTCACTTAATCCTCCAAACAGCACCCTGCAATGGGTAATAATAGAAATGCCAAACATGTGTCTGGTGAGCCACCATTTGCAAAACATAATCTCCCCTTTGATGCCGCTATTCCCTGACATGTCACCTTGCAATTTACACCCTACCAGCCCCCTCCTCCTGCATTTTCCAACCCCACCAAGCTATTACCTACTTGCAGGTTTTTGTGCACACCACCATCCCTAGCTAGTCTACTTGGAGAACTCCTGTTTATGCCGGTGCTTGGCATATAGTAGAGGCTCAAACTCAGAAAAGCAGGATTCATGAAGGGAACAGAACCAATGCCTCAATTTTCACTTGAATTACTATAAGAAGCTGATGGCCAGGCTGTGTCATCCCCTGGAGACTTTTTCTTAAGAAGTCTTCCTTTCTCTGTCTCTGTCTCTCTCTTAAACACACACACACACACACACACACACAGAAGCTTGCTTTGGGGCATTGCAAGGATACAGAGCCATCTTGTAGAGGAGGGAGCCCTTCTGCCTGAATTTCAAGTAAACTGACAAATTTCAAGCTGCTGTGGTGGAAGTGAGGCCATCAGGAAGCCAGATACCTGCATTAAAGATGACAACCATTACTTTGTAATTAGAGACATAGCCATTCTGGGATTTCATACTCTCCTCTTTGATCTGGAGAAACTGAAAAGCTGGATGCTTCCACAGAGAATTTGGAATGATGGAGAAGGAAACTGGACAATACGTGGTAAAGTTTCCTTTTGGTCACTATGTTCATCCAAATTTAACAAATGCATACTGCTCTTTTTAAGTATCTTTTCTTTTTCTGATTAAAGCCCACTGAAAAACAGAAACTCAAACATAATTCTTTTTATAGGATATCGTTTTCTCCAAAGTCAGGCCAAAAACATATGCATGTGTCAACCCATATTTTGTACCCCAGTATCATTTCAACCCCACACCCCACTTTACAGACAGCATCTCCAATCCTTACAACAACTCTGTACACAGGTTCAATTATTTCCATCTCACAAATGAGGAGACCAAGGCTCAGAAGGTCAGGTAGTCGGCCCAGGACTGTACGACGGCAGATGGCCAAAGTCCATCTAACATCGAAAGCCTTCATCTGTGCCCCACGGGGGTGGGTGAGATTGTAGACCCTGCTCTGACCAACCTCCACCCCCACCTGTCTCTACAGCCTCAATGTACTCAGAGATCCAGAGGGAGCGGGCGGACATCGGGGGACTGATGGCCCGGCCTGAATACAGAGAATGGAACCCAGAGCTCATCAAGCCCAAGAAGCTGCTGAACCCTGTGAAGGCCTCCCGGAGCCACCAGGAGCTGCACCGAGAGCTACTCATGAACCACAGAAGGTGGGAACGGAGCTTGGTTGCCTCCGCCTGGCAAGCAACTCCTCAAGCCTGCTGGGCCTTGCAGAGGTGCCCCTTGTAAAAGGCCCCTATGGTCATGCTGGGTCTCCTGGAGGCTGAGGAGGGCTGAGGATCCCCCACATAGTCACCCACAGAAAATGTGAAGTTCTCATCCCTGGTGGTCCCCAAGAGCCCTGCTCTCCCTTCCAGCTACCCACTCATGCCTGCCCTCCACATACATTTACTGAGCACCTACTATGTGCCAGGCACTGTGTCCAGACCTGGGGTACAAGAAGGAATGGGACCCAGTTCCTGCCCTCACAGTGGGGATGGATGCATAATCACATGCTATAATGAGGGTATAAATGGGCCTGGGAGCTCAGAGGACACACCTGTGAGTGGTCCAAGGTGACCTCACAGAGGAGAGGATGCCTCAGCATGAAGCCTGAAGGTTGGGCAGGAGTCAAACAGACTAGGGGTGGGCATCAGCTGGTGAAAGCAACTATGTTCCCAGCAAAGGGAGGAGCATGTGCAAAGAGACAGGAAACACAAGTAGCTCAGGGTGTTTGCAGCATTGACTTTGAGGTTGGCCAGAGGAGATGTGTTTACCTGGAAAGGGTCTCAAGCAGAGGTGTCACAATCACGGGGGGAGGGGGGATGAGTGGACCAGGGAGACCAAGGTGCAATGAAAGAGACAGGCCTGAGGTGGCAGGTCTGGGACTCAGTAACAGAGGGAATGGGGAGGAGGCCTGGGAAATAGTGCCCAGCTGGCTAGCACCAGGAGGAAGGCGGCGGCGCCCCTGCAGCTCCCTCTACTGGCATGTTCTGGTATTGGCGGGGGCGAGGACTCGTTCTATTTTCAGCTCTGTGCAAGACCTTCCAGCAGGTGTCATTTTCTATCTTCCGTGGGTTCTTTTTTTCTTCCTTAGTATATCATGTGCATTTTCTCCAAATGTTTTTTAGTGTCATCCCTTTTAATGTCAAAAGACACCTCCACCATAGAAAAAAAAAAAGCCTAAAGACAAATCAGGGAAACATTTGCAATATAAAACCCACAAAAAATATATACATATCACTTATAAATCCATATGGAACAAAAAATGAATAAAGATAGGTATAGTCAGTTCACAAAAGAAATGCAAATGACTGATGCACATCTCAAAGGCTGTTGTTCCACGTAACTAAGAATCAGAGAACACACCCATGAAAACCAGATCTTATTTCTTGCCTACCAGATTCTCAAATATAAAAAGACTGGATGGTGATGGCGGGGAGAAATAGATGCTCTTGTACACTGATACAGAGTATAAATTGGAGAACCTTTCCTAAGGGGTAGATGGAAATATGTATCCAAAATCTTTTAAAAGAGCCTGACCCAGCAATCCCACCTCTAGAAACTTATCCTGGGCACATACCCAGAAACGACATAAAATCTGGTCTCTGCCATCAGACAGCCTGGGTACAAATCCTCCTCGCTCAGCCCCTTCGCACCTGTGACTTGGGCTGGTGTCTTAAGTCCTAGGAGCCTCCGTATAAGGGGTCAGAAATGGGACCCCTTCCCTGGGCTGCCAGGGGGCTGTACGACACAAGGGCATAGGTTGGTGTCACTACAGGGTACCGCCCTGAGGCTGGGGTGGGCGGAAGTTGGGGTCTCCTGACGGCTCCCCCCACCCAGGGGCCTGGGCGTGGACAGCAAGCCGGAGCTGCAGCGTGTCCTGGAGCACCGCAGGCGGAACCAGCTCATCAAGAAGAAGAAGGAAGAGCTAGAGGCCAAGCGGCTGCAGTGCCCTTTTGAGCAGGAGCTGCTGAGACGGCAGCAGAGGCTGAACCAGGTGGGTGGGAGCGCCCAGCCCTGGCCCTAGCCTCCTCCAGGACTGTCTCCCGGCCCCGGGGCAGGAGCCTGCATGTGGCCTTGGCTGGCAAGAGGGAGGAGATGATGCAAAATGAGGACATAACCAGCAGTCCACCACTGACCCAAGTCCTCACTCTGCCACTCGCTCTGCTGTGTGACTTTGAGCGGGTGGCCATCCCTCTCTGAACCTCAGTTCCCTTAACAGCCCAATCTATCGCATGCTGATCCTGATTTCATTCTCACTACCGCCCCGTGAGCCAGGTGGCATTCCCATTTTAGAGACGAGGAACCTGAGGCCCAGCTGAGGCTAGCCATTTGCACCAGGCTTCACAGGGAAAACTTAGTCTCATGCTCTGTCACCCCAGCTACCAGGCTGGAGGCAAAGCTGATCCCCAGTTCTGTTTCCCCAGAGAGGATCCCAGGTGCAAATACTGTGGTTTGGGGAATAGGAATTCCACACCCCAACCTACTTCACACCTCTGCTTCTTCTCTCCGTTAGCTGGAAAAGCCACCAGAAAAAGAAGAGGACCATGCCCCCGAATTTATCAAAGTCAGGGAAAACCTGCGGAGAATCGCCACGCTAACCAGTGAAGAGAGAGCACTGTAGAGTGGGGTCGTTGAAGCTCCAGCCCGAGCAGCCCACCCCTGACCCCCATGCCCTCCTCCAGCCCTTCTGCATCTGGCAGCCCTGGGCCCCCAGCCTGGGGACATCCGTGATGTTCATGCTTGCTCTTGTGAAAATGCCCCAGAGGGCCTGGGCCCTCCTTCCCACCCACCAAGAAGCTGGGAGGCCCCTAAGCTCCCAGGCTCTTCCCTCTGAGCACTCACTGCTTCTGCTCCAAGAGGAAGCTGCTGCCAAGAAAACATTCCCAAGGCACCTCTCCCTGAAGGAGCTTCTGAGCTCTGCTGAGATTTTTCTGCAGAATTGGGAAGGCGAGAAAGGCCCCTCTTTGGTCTGACCAGCCCTCTCTTTTGCCCAGGCCCCACGGGGCCCTGCTTCTCTGGACAGCCCAGCTCCCTGCTCTCAGAAAACTTCCCCGACCGTGGTTTTCCCAGCAGCCAGGTGTGGGGCAGCTAAGCAGAGCATCTCAGAACACCTGCTCTGAAAGCCAGCGGAGGGGAATATGGTTCAAGTGCCGCTCACTAGGGGAGGAAGGGCGGGGCAGCTCACAAGGCGGCCTCGGGGCTCACATCCTGCCAGGTTGCAAGAGTACTAACAAGGACAGCTTCTTGGAGTTTGCCTGCTTCCCCCAGACCCACGCTTTTGCTTGCTCCTCTCCACAGCCTTGCTGTCTGGGCCTGGCAACCACATCTAACCAGGACCGCAGCCTTCCTGCTCCCAGAAGTCCAGAACAGTGCTTCTCAAACTTGATTGTGCCTACGAATCACTGGGGATCTTGTTAGAGGACCACTTCTGATTCAGTAGATCTGGGGTGGGGGCTGAGATTCTGCATTTCTAACCAGCTCCTGGGCTGCTGGTCTGAGGACCACACTGTAAGCAGCCAGGGACAGTAAATACTGGAAACATCATCCCTAAAGCCACCTCTGCCCCCCAACTGCCATGAAACTCTGCCCTGGGGGTTCCCCACCCTGCCTCTGTGGTCCCAAGGGCTCTCCATTATCCACCCCATTCCAGGGCCCTCAGGCCTGGGAAGACATTTGCCCAGCAAATTATGTCGGTTATGTAATTGCCATTGTCACTGAAGAGGTATATCATTGCCAATCTGCATTTTCTTACCCCACCGTTCTGATGCAATTCTGGCCAAAAATATATATATATATATATATATATATATTTTACCTTTTCCTGAAACCTATGGAGAACAAATATACAGTGATTTCCGGTGGGCTTCTGGAAATACGAACAGTGGTTTGAAGACCCCACCACTACCCTGACAGACAGGCTCCTTTGAGTCCCCATTTCCAGCCCCTGCACCCACTCCCTGCTTGGTTTCCACCACCTGAGCCAGCTCCAGTGAATTCACTCATTCTTCCTCAAAAATCCCTCCCCACACGCGACCACATGTTTCAACCTTTTGCTTTTAGATTTAAAGATTTAGAGAATAAACCAGGCTGGTTTCTTCTCCCTGCGCCCACCCCATGAAGAATAAAATCCCTGCCTCTGGCTTTGCAAACCCATCATTTAAGGTGATAGGGCAGTTCTAGAAAAGCATTTCCTTTCACTGCCCCCCCCCCCACCAAAACTACCAGAAAAAGCTGCTGCTGGGATGCTATTTTATTCTTGGACCAAAAGTGGGATGTTCAGGAGGAAAGGGGTCATCCTGGTCTTAACTCCTAATTAAGTGGTTTGAGGATGACCAAAGACATTGCCATTTCCCGGGGTGGGGTGCCTGCCAGTGTAAATAGACATGTTGTCTGTGTGTGTGCACGTGTGTGTAAATCAGGCCCTAAGAGGCTCTTGAACGTGTCTTGGTGAGAATGTGGTAATGCTATTTTAGATGTCTGCCAGGTGAGAACAATCCTAAAGCACAATCCCCAAATAAAGACCACCATTTCCCCCAAAGAAGTGTCCCCCCTCAGTCTATGTGTTGTTCCGACGTACGAAAAGAAGCAAGACAGAGCATTCAGGATGGAGGAGGCCCCTCAGAGAGGATGGCTGAGATTGCACTCAGTGGTCCCCAGAGGTGCTCCATGGAGGCGGCAAGCCATGGAGATGACACTCCACATCGTCCGGTGGAGCCGTGGCAGCCACCCGCGTGCACTCCCCTTCTCTCTAGCTGCCTCCCACTGTGGAGGTTGTAAATCCCAATTCCCATGGTTCCAGCCTCCTTTGAAGCTTGGGGGGGGACATGTGACCAGGTATGGCCAGTGAAATTTAAGAGGAAGTCTACAGGGGCTTCTGGGAAAGTTAATGCTTTTCTGATAAAAGAGGCAGACGTGGGTAACACCTCCCTGCCCCTCCATTCTTCCTGCCTTGATGGAGGATGTGATGCCTAGAGCCACAAGAGCCAACTTGCTACCATGAGGAAAAGGCTAAGAGAATCTCAGAGCACTGTCCCTGTCATCATTTGACCAAGCCGAATGCCAGTAGCCATCCTCCAGAATTCTTGTAAATAAAAAGAAAACCCTCTTTGTTTAAGCCACTGTTGGTCTGTCTCTGTTACTTGCAGCCAGAGTATTCCTGACACAGAAGGCCAGGCCCAATGCCTAGAATTACCAGCAGACTGTACTGAACATCCAGATTCCTCTTTCCCATTAGAAACCAATTGGAGGGGCGCCCAGGTGGCTCAATCGGTTAAGCATCATCTGACTTTTGATTTCAGCTCAGGTCATGATCTCAGGGTCATGGGTTTGAGCCCCACGTTGGGCTCCACACTCAGTGGGGATTCTGCTTGAGGATTCTCTCTCCCTCTCCCTCCCCTACCCCTTGCACACTTGCACGCACACACGCGCCCTTTCGCAAATAAATAAATCTTAAAAATAATTAGTTAAAAAAAAAAGGAAGAAAGAAAGAAAGAAACCAGTTGGATTCAGATCCCCGGCAGCAATGCCTAAGATCTGTTTTTTCTGCATCTTCTCCACATAGCCCACGCACCAGTCTGAGAACTGGTGTTTGGGCATCCTTAATTCACACATCATTCCGTACGGATGTGCTGAGTGCCTGCTCGGTGCCAGGAAGCATGCCGTGTGCTGGGGGCACAGTGGGAAACAAAATGTCTTGATGATCGCTGAGGCCTCCTCCTCAGTGGTCTCCCTGCTTCTGCCCTGCCCCCTACAGCCTATTCTCAAGAGAGCAGCCAAAATGAGCCTGTGAACATCGAAGGCAGGTCTTGCCACTCCTCTGCCCAGAGCCCTCCCTTGCCCCCCCCCCCGCCCGTAGCGGCCTTCCCGCCACCCCAAAGGCCCCACCTGTCCAGCTCCCTCTTCACCTCTGGCCTTCTGCCCTCTGCCCGCCTCCTCACTCACACAGCTCGGGCTGCCGGCCTGGCCTCCTCACGCCCCACATCCCACGAAGTGCCTTTTCATCTTCTTCCCTCGGAGAAGCATACAGGCCTCTCCCCCCACATTCTCCAGGTCTTTTTCCTATGCTCTTTCTAAACGAGGCCCTCCGTGGTCAACCCATCTGAATCCCAGCATCTCCTACACACTTCCTATCCCTTCCTTCGCTGTCTCACCATTTGCCACCATCAAACACATATCTTACTTGTTTACCTTGTGTGTCTCCCTTAGCGATAATGTCCACTCCATGAGGGCAGAGATGTCTGTCTGTCTCGTTTCCTGCTGAATCCCAACTGGCCGTCCTCCCTGCTCCTTCCGTGCCAGCAGGTGGCCTGGCCTGGGCGAACCTCTGGCAGACTGGGACCCAGGCGCAAGAATCCAGCTTTGAGAAAAGGCAGTGGCCAAATAGCGCATGGCACTCCAGGCACAGAGCAGGTGCTCAATTCATGTTTGTTGAATGAACGTATAAGTGAGAAAGCCCTTCTCCGGCTGCAGCACCCCCCCCAGGGTTCAGCCCCTCCCACCACCATCGCCTACAATTTCCCCCGGGGCCCAGAGTTGTCAGTCTGGTCCAGAAGCTTTCCTCGGGCCTCTTGGGCTATTGTCAGTACACCTGGGCCCGACTGGCATTTGTGCCTACAAGATCAACATTGTGGCTCCTCCATGCCACTCTGTGGGCATCCAGGGAGTTAGAAAATCCCTGAGGGCAGAGGTCGGGTCATCGCCGAGTCCTGGGGACCCTGCAGAAGGAAAGGCGCCCTGACATCAGACTCTGCCCTACATGGGGAACCAAGAACAGCAAGACCAGTCTCACTGAGCCCCCCTGCCCCTCACACCTACCAGACCACAAGTCCCAGTCTGGATTTGGGGAGAACCCTCTTCAATGGCAGATGGGCCCTAAATACACACCTGGGAGACAGAAGACCTCAGGAGGCGAAGGGACCCTCCCTCCCTGATTCTGCACATTTAGCCCAGGGGAGCCCTCAGAACCCAGGAGCTTTTGCAGGGCAGCCTCATCCCCTAGGGATGGTACGAATGGCAAGCTCCATGAGGGCAGGGACCCCGGCTGATTCTGCTTCCCTTTGCCAATGCCAACCCAGGTGTTCCGAAAGTTGTGAGTGGGTGTCAGTTATGATCACTGCATTTATGGAAGGCCAGCAATGTCACCACCCATGACAACTCGATGTCATTCTCACTATTTTGCAGACTAACCAACGTTTAGGTAAATTAAAAGACTTGCCTGAAGTCACAAAACAATGCTTGGGGAAAGACAAGATTACCACAGAGCTGTCTGTCTGCAAAGCGCACATTTTCTCCACGACAGCGAGGCCTTGCTCCTAGGAAGGGCTCAGAGGAGGGCCCTGTGCCATTCTGACCCTTTGCCATGAGATTCAATGACCTATTTAACCTTCTCATTGTCTGTCTGAACTTGAGGGATCTGGCCTCCACCCATAAAAATAGACTCCAGCCAATACAGACTGAAGGGAGTTCTGGGGTGAGGAACGTTACGCACCCGCCCCCCTAAACTAGCCATTGAAGTGGGATTCCTGCCCCTTGCAGGACTGGACCTTTAGCTGAGCAGTAACCTAAACAATCTGGTGTTTTACTGCCCCCACCCCCAGACCTGTCAACCCCCAGCCACCCAGCTCCCACCAGGGCCCTGCCTCACAAATGCCCCTTTTGCTGGGCCTCACAAGAAGAGAATTCATACCTCCCCATAGCCACTTGCCCTCATCTCAGCCACCAGACGATTATCTGAGTTGATGATGTGCAGGCGCTCACCTAGGGAGGACACTGAGTGCCCATCTACTTCTCAGAAAGGACTTCTAGAGAGATGAGC